TTTTTTAATTATTTTTTATACGAACAACAAGTGATACACACCCAGTGCACAGATGAAAAAATATTTATATTTTATTATATAGTATATTATATAGTATATTAATACACATCAATTTCTTTTAGTATAATTATTATTTTATTGTTATTATATCGTCACTATTATTATTATTATTATTATTATTAGAAAAACAAATTGGTTGTGATTATTTTATATATAATAGTTGATAAATAATGATCTAAGAGCACACATGAACATAGACACGTTTTTAAAAGTAACCATATATATATATATATTTCATATTCACATAAACTATATTCAAATGAATTCTTATGTGTGTGTGTGTGTGACCTTAATAGTACATCTTATATTAAATTTTGGTTGTAAAAACCTGCCATATGCCATGCATAAAACTATAGCAGCAGTGCTGTAAAAACAGTGTAAAGTGTAAATATGAAATTTGAAAGAAATGATATATATATAAAAAAAAAAAAAAAAGAAAAAAAAAAGTAACAAACAAAAATTGAAAAAATACTTCTTAAAAATAAAGCAAACTAAGTAATATAAATAAGAATATGTAACTAAAAGATGATGATATTACATCCTGGAACATCTTTTTTTACCTTCCTGAAACATTTGTAGCACTCTGGAATGTCCATCCTCAAATATCATAAGATCAATATGCTGAAAAAGTTAGATTCTTTGAATATGTACTTTTATGTTATATCTGAAAATAATTAACTAACTAATTTTTTGATATATATATTATGAATAATTAAGAAAACTTAAATAAACTATTAATATCCTTTGTACAAGATTACAAATACCACCACAATAAACATAACATACAACATACACATACATACATACATACATACATTACAAATATGGTTTTATTATTACTAGTGATGACAAAAAATACAATTAATAATGTACAAAGTATCATTATTAATATGGACGTGGAGGTGGACCTCCACGCATCATACCAGGTGGTGGGCCACGCATTCCTGGTGGTCCCATTGGTGGGCCGCCTCTTCCCATTGGTGGCATTCCAGGTGGCATTCCTATAATCAAAATTAATATATAATATCCTATACTACTTTTTCCTTTAAATAGATAAATGTATATGATGAAATAAAATCAAACTGTTATTTTTTACCCATCATTCCTGGTGGTGGTCCCATCATACCAGGTGGTGGTCCACTAACAGGCATACGTGGAGGACCACCTGGATGCATTTGCGGTGGTGCTGAAACTTGACCTCTACCACCAGGTGTCATTATTTGTTGCGATGGACCACCAATGCCTCTAACTGGTCCTTGTAAACCTGCAGGTACTCCTGCAATACTCGCTGGCATGCCACGACCAGCAGGTCGTCCTATACCAGGACCTGGTGCAGCCCCTGGTATAGGAACTCTAGGCAATCCTTCTTCCGGAGGTGGAGGACCTTCTACGGTAAGCGAAACAATATTTTCTCCTCTCAATAGTACAAAACCTAATACGCGTTTTTGTTCAGTTTCAGGTTGTTTCGTATTTTTCGGTTTAATTTTACGAAATTCTTCACAATCTCCAAGAATAAGATTCATATGCTTATCAAATGCCTTAAATGTTCCTATAAAGGTTCGAGAATCTTGAAGAATGATTCTAACCCTATAGTTAATATGCTGAAGCATTTTATTGTTCTTTCCGATCGTCTGAAAAATACAATAGATGAATTATGTATAATAAAATATATAAAATGTGATTAAATAAACATATGTACATACACACGTATGAATTACATATATGAAAACTGTCATTAATTTGTCAAATACAATAGTTTTCTTATATTTTGACAATGTCAAATATTTTACATGATAAATACAATAATTTTCATCGTATATTTTTATCATGTAAAGTATTTTGATCGAAAACAGGATTTTAAACATGGCAAAATTGAACAATGTGAATGTTCCATTTAGAAAATTATAAATAAAAATCTTAAGTCACGTTTATATATTGACATTCATAATACGAAGAGAAATAAATACTTTTTAATAATATTAATGAAATACATAAATAATATACATTAAAATGGATATTATTGTTGAAATAAAATGATATTACTTAACCTTAATATCTTACCATTTTTGAAACTTTTGTCGGTTACAAAGTAAATGTAATTACTAATCTTCTTTTTTTTTTGTAATTGAATGTTATATTATTTTTTAACACTGTATAATAAGTTTGGGACGTATTTGGAATCGATGAATAATAATAATGCAACCAAGCGAGTAGAAAAAAAATTATATTTATTAAGTAACGTGTAAAGAAAGAAATAATTGCACTTTATTACCGCCTGCTTCTACTGACGCTTGTGCTGCCCTCTAACGTTACTAGCAGGTGATAGTTGGGAAACGACATTCAGTAGGGATACGCGTGTAGCGTACCGACGCGATACACTAGCGCCTCTTCTCCCTATACGGGAACCACACCAGTTAAGATCTAAAATATGTAACGTTCGAAATATATCAACATCATATATGGCGTCCAAGAGTGTCTTGTTATTTATAACATATATGTAATACTCCTATATGGATAGTTGATATGGGAAAGAATGTCCTAACATTACGATGCCGACAATATTTATTTTCTCTCTTTTCCGAAAAACTTTGTGCAATTTGCGCATGCTTGAAATTTCTCTAAAATATCACTAGTGGGGACATAAACTGAAGAATAATTTTGTGGTTAAAATTGTGTTCACAGTATTATTCATTATTATAATTCAGAAAAATAATGGTAAATTTTTAAAAATTTGTGATTTTAATTTATCAATAACTTCTTTTCATCAACTAGTTATTAAAAAATGGTGAACTCGTGTTATTTATATTTAAATAAAATAAAAAGTTATTATAAAAATATATTCTATTTGAATTACTCGACGTTTTCCCGCATGCGCACAAAGGATGCGCAGAACTGAGCTGGAAGCTCAGAGGATAGAGAAGGTGACATTATCCGTCTCACTTTGTTGGAACAGCTTCCATTTATGGAAATTGTCCATATAGAAGTATTACATATATGAATATAATATATATAATATAACAAAATTCATGTGTAAGAGACAACAATATATTTTATATTTATTTAACAGTGTATCAGATGTATAAAGTATAATCAGATATTTAAACAATAATACATTGGTTTAAACATTGCATATCTATTATATGTTAATATTGTATGTTACAATAAACGAAAAAATAGTGTTACAGAATAATGGGAAAAAATTATTAAAAAAAACTAAATATCTTAACTAGATCTTCCAGTTTAATGAGTTAGGAAATATTTAATTGATTGTATATGTAAAAAAGTCCTTTCACTACTGTGAGATACGTCTAGATCTTTATTTATTATTAGATACTTCTTGTGATGTATGTATGTATTATAACGCAAACATCGATGGGTAAAATGTACATTACAAAGAATAATGCTAAACATTCAGATGTCAATATTGAAACTGTTTAAATAATTATTTGAACCGCTTATTTTAAAAGTGGCCTAACTCCATTTATGTTCGAATCGATATATTGAAGGGTTTGCGTTTTCATGCAATTAAAAATATATGTACAAGATACTAACGAGTTATACTTCTTAAATGTATCTAAAGGCTTTAAATTTATATTTCCTATTAAAATAGTGGCAATTATTAGGTGAATATTATGCGTTTTCTAACCACGAATTAAGTCATTGTCAAAATTAATAACAAAATTCATTATAAAATTTGAAGGAGCCCAAGTCCATTCAACATAATTTAAGATGCTTCAAATTGTAAAAAACAATACTCAATTTATTTTACATATATTTAAAACACTTCAGAAACATAATTTACGCGATTCAAAACATTTTTTAACTACATAACGTACAACATTACAAACATAACCTACAAAACAATTTACTACTTATCTACATTTTGTGTATGTGAAAGGRATTTGAAGAAATCATGATATTTCGTTGGTATATATCGTAATAGGTTAATTATGTCCTTGAATTTTGCTGTTGTAATTTGTCTGATATTTTCATACAGTGATGTCAATACAATATTTTCGAACTTTCTTTGTCTACTCTGAAGTGATAATAAATTCAAGACTTTAAAATTTTCATTCTCATTCATCGATGTCTTATAGAAAATTTGATACAGTTCATTACTGACAAAACAGAATTTCTCAACAAAATAAAAAAATACTCTATTATTATATTTCCACCAATTTTTTTTGTATCTTGTTTTTCATTTAGTAGTGGAAAGAAAAACAATCTTCCACATTTCTTACTTAAATCATACACAATAATTAGTAAACGATATTAAAGTCCGATGAGTATGACTGGAAATAAAAAATTGTAATACAATCTATTTAATAGGTCTATTTAAAAATAAGTTTTACAAATGCAATTGTGCTTGAGTTGTCTGTTGTCTTGCTGAAACTTCAAATTATTACTAATACTCATGTTTTTGATTCTTCCAATTTGATTTTTTTTTAATATGTTAAAGATTTATATTTACAGTGTTATTAATTATTATCAAATTTCCAATTCCACTTAAAGCAACGCAACCAAAAATCATTATTGGTACTTTCAAATTTTGCAATACCGTATATTAATTTAACATTTTTTCTTTTATTAGAAATTTAGTAAATAAATAAAATCAATAATATATCTCTAAAAAGATTAACAAATGACCTGTTGTTGAAAACAATATCTCCTGGGATTGCTTTATAAATAATAGAAATATGAAGAAAGAATTGTGTTTAGTCTGAATATTTTTGAGAGTTTCATCATATTAAATATTTATTATATCAAATACATAATATATAAAATACATTGAGCCAATTAGCTGCTTAGTCCTCATTGAAAACTGTATACAAAAAATATTTTGCCGAATCAACGCGATGATGAGTATACCTGCCAAACGTAAAATATTTCTTTATCTGTAATAATATTGAATTGAGTTTTAATGGAATGAATATTTTATTTTTTCGAAAAAATAATTTTTTATTTATTATTAGCATATATTTATTGACTTGATTTAAGCATATAATTTATGAGATCAGTCAATTAGAAAAATATAATCGAAAAAAAATTAGTCTTCCACTCACTTTAATTTCGGGCGAATGCTCTTTATCCTTCTGAGCTACCTAAGAACAACTTTTGGACCAAATTATTCAACTATTTTATCAAAGAAGTCATTGACAGTATTGGTATTGTATCAAACAAATTCCTTTGTTTCCTCCCAGAAATATACACACTCCGCATAGTATCTATTGCAAGTGCGTGATTTTTCAAGGATGAAGAACATTGTGGAAGAAGTAAGAACGTAACTTAGCAATACTGCGTTGTGACTTCTAGACAAAACTATTGAAACAATTCGGGCTTCGGTTGTTTAGACTGGGAATCGAACCCAGGACCTTTCGCTTGCCGATCGAGCGCTCTACCATCTGAGCTATGAAGACACATTTAAATTTAATTCATAATATTGTATATATAATATGATGTATCGAATTATCCAATAAATCCGTACGGTTTGAGCTGTATTTTTGTACTTTTAATTACTAAGAATAGAACATACTTATGAACCAATCTAATAGAACATGCATTATTTATTTTATTAGGTATAATTAAATGTTGATACATATTATTTTCCGAAAGTAACCTGCTTCACCGATTAAATTTGATATTATAATGTGAATCTAAATTTATAGATAATTTATTTTCTTAATTTTTTTATTTCTGTTTGAAACGCTGTTGTATAGTTAATTCATCTATCCATAAAAAAATATCAAATTATTAAATCGTTTAAATCAGTGGTTTCCAAACCTTTTTGTCCTATTACCCTTTTGAAAATTAATTTCTTAATTTCGTTGATCGGTGAGCTTCTTTTTTTTTTAGTAACTGAGAAAAACTAAAAACTATTTATTGCACTCATGATCTTTTTTTACAACATACTTACAGTTCTTACAGTTTTTCATTGCCATTTTGTCACTCCCTCGCCCCCAAAGTTCACCGGTGGTCGTCATCATAAGATGACATAAGCAACCTCAAATGCTTTATTATAACATAACTTGAAGTTGTACAATAACTAGGTGCAACTGAAAAATAATTAATGACGAATGGAGTTAGGCCACTTTCAAAATAAACTTTTCATCAATTTGTTGATCGGCAAATTTTCTTGTTACAATCTCTTTATGATTTTAAATATATTTGTAACAAATTGCTTCAGAATGAAAAGATCATGTAAAAATGTAATTATTATGGTAACTAACTTGATTTTTTTTGGAAAATGAACTTAGGCTACTTTCAAAATAAGCGGCCTATTTATTCATTTTTATAGGTACAGTTAGTATAAAAAGTAACTAATATATTTATAAACAATGAATTCCTACATATTCTTGAAGAGAATACTACAATAAATCGGATGAAATAAAAAAATAATTTTTTAAAATAAATTTAAAAATTGACAAGGAAGACGAAAAAATTGGCAGAAACATAGGAGCAATAAGTATTCGTACAGTTCTTATTTCAAACTATTTACAAAATAGTTTTTATATAAACCATAATGTAAACACAAAGAAGAGAAAAAGAAAATATTATCAAAAAATGTTAAATTAAGTTTGATCTTGACGATGATTTTTTTACTATTCATTAATAAGATATTTCATTAATAAGAAAAATAGAATAAAAAAAAGAAAAAAAAAGTGTTAACAGCACACGGTGTTCCCAAGCGGTCACCCATCCAAGTACTAACCGTGCCCAGTGATGCTTAACTTAAGTGATCGGACGAGAACTTG